GCAAAAGCGAAATTATATGCAAGATTGATATCAGAAAATATGATATCCTTTTTGATATGAATTTGGGTAAATAAATGAGTTCTAGATAGAAATTATTAATTTGACAACACAAAAGCAAAATTATATGCAAGATGGGTAAGTCTAATAAAAATTGTGCCAGAACTCCCAAAGTGCTCTTACTCAAACAAGATTTTCTAAATCAGGAAATAAAAATGCTGCTAAATAACAGGCTCATATATGAGCTAAAGAGTGCTTGAACCTCCCTGTTGTCATTGTGCCAAAGAAGAACGGCAAGCTATGCTTATACGTTGATTATCGAAAACTCAATGCCATAACAATGAAAGATGTATACCCACTACCGCGTATTGATGATATGTTAAATTTATTCAACAAATCTAGGTGGTTTTCAAGCCTTAACTTAGCTAGTGAGTACTGGCAAATTTCTATGAAACCTGAGGACCGAGAAAAGATGGCCTTTATCACCAAACAAGAGGTATACACATTTAACGTTATGCTCTTTAGTTTGTGTAATGCACTAGCCACCTTCCAGCAAGCTATGAATTACATCTTGCATGAGTTTATTGGCAGCATGTTGCTGTCTACTTAGATAATATTATTATCTACTCAAGGACCTACCAGGAACATTTACTCCACATTGCAAACGTTTTTGCTAAACTAGAGGCCGCAGAGATAAAGCTTAATCCTAATAAATATGAGTTATTCAAGGAAAACATCGATTACCTAGGGTATATCGTCGAGAAGGATGGTATTAAGCCAGATGAAAGAAAAGTAAAAAAAGTAAAAAATTTTCTCCTACCTACTAACCTAAGGCAATTGAGAGGCTTTATAGTCCTAGCCTCATACATTGGTAATTTATAAAAGAATATCCCTTATGAGTGGGAAAACGCTCAGGAGCAAGCATTTGAGATTCTAAAAACCCACCTCACAATGGCCCCAATCCTAAGGTACCCTGATTTCAACAAAACCTTCTATCTTTATACTGACGCATCAGGTGTTGGGCTAGGTGCGGTTTTAGTCCAAAAAGATAAAGCAAACAAGGAATATGTAATTGCTTATGCCAGCAAGGGACTTACCTGGCCGGAAAGAAATTACTTCGCCACCGAACTAGAATATTACGCCATGGTATGGGTGATGGAATACTTCTACCATTACCTGGGGTACAAACCATTCGTTCTAGTCACCAATCATTTTGCTTTAAAGTTGCTCCATAATACAGCACTTAAGAGAAAAAGAGCCCGGTAGATTTTATACCTACAACCCTACATCTACATCATAATACATAGGGTGGGGAGAGTACACAACAATGCAGACACATTGTCAAGAATGACTGAAGAAGTCTCAAGAAATTAAAAAGAAAAGGTGGTTAGTGAAAATATAAAAACAATGAAAGATACAGCAAAAGGATATGAAGATAGGCCTTCCCAAGAAAGCCAGGAAGCCCAAGTAGCCAGAGTAGAAGAAGAAGTCGAGGTTTTCCAGGTTATTGATCAAAATTATTTTCCTGAAAACCTTCTTGAAGAAGTAGAGATAACTCCCTGGAACTCTAATGCTGAAAATAGATAGGAAGAAAATGTAGCCAATAATATTGAGTATGATGTCCAAGAGTATAAATGGGAAGAAAATTAAGAACGAGAAAGACCTTCTAACTGAACTGGCTATAGAAGCCGAAATAGAGATAACCTGGTCAACCATGAATGGCTATCCGAACGAATTAGTACAAGATGCTAGCCCTAAAAATGGTATCCAACCTATGAAATTGGATGAGGTATATCTTATCGACATACCTTAGTAGGGTGAATCAACTACAGGGCTTGAAATTGAAGAAAACAATGAATATTATGAAAACGCCGCTGCTTACTTTGGTTTCGACTAAAGCTAGAATGAGGCTGATTATAGTGACCTTTTTCCGGGAATTCCAGGACTGAACTTCGACTCTAAAGACTGGACCCAATCGATGGATACTTACAATAATTGAGAATATTACGACTCTCAATAAGTAAAACATTGTTAGTACTCAAGGATTAAGCAGTGTCACGTTTTTTTTTTTTAAAAAAAAAAAACTCTCCTTTTATATATTTTCCTTTCTCAAAATTATATTACTGAACATTTTATACCAGTAGCCTAGTTATACCAATGGTCAACATATGAATACCTGTGAAAATTACGTTCACCAATATATATATATATTTTTTTATTTTTCTTTTTATATAAATATTTTTTTTCTCTTCTTTTTAGATCTGACAATAGAGTGAGGGTGGTCAGGATGAAATAGGGCGAGTTGAGGGGCCCTATTTAAAGCATTGAATATTTTTTTTTTTATGAACAAGTATAGTGAGTTAGGAATGAATTATTGATCTTGCCAGATCTATATACCCCAAGAAAAGAGTAAATTAAGCTCTCTTAAATGTCTATACAAAGAGCCCTCAAAGGAGTTTAAAACCCAGGTCACAACACCACAGCAAACTGTTAATCGAAGGACTACCCAATAGACAAGGAAAAGAATGCTAAAATTCAACCACTTAGTTATGAAAAGACCGAAGTATTAGAACTTGAGTTGAAATTCTGAAAAAGCTACAAAGTCATGCGAAGGAAATTGCAAGAAGTAAATACCAACAAAGAGAAACAAACATTACGACTTGAATAGTTAAAGAAGAAAATAACAAATTAAAAAGGTTGAACAATTAGTAGAGAAGAGTTATAATTACACACTAGAGCTAAAAGCACACACTAAGACGCAGAGAAACCTTCGAACCACCAGCTTTGAATAACACTAGAACCAACTGAATATTACAAAAATTGTTTTGGAAAACTATAGTAGCAAACATATAAGGTTTGATAGACATTGGAAAGGAGTAAAAGAAAAACCAGTATCGAAGTTGTAGATCACAATATTGGGCGAACAATAGCAAAATTGGAAACCATGAAAAGTTGGAGTTAAATTGCTTACTAAATACAACCAGGAAACTTAAAAACCCAATGATAAATTCAATTCAGTCTAGGTTGTCGGTATCCTGGCAAAGTTGAAACTGAAGAAGACCAAACTTTCAGCCTTGCAATATTTAGAGCGAAGATGGACTATCAACTATATGCCACATTGTTAAATTGCATACAACACTAGCAATTGCTGCAAATCTATGATGAACAACAACGAAAGCGATTAGAAAAACAGAGTCAATTTTTCCAGGTTAAAACTGAAGCACTATACAAAAAGAATAAGAAGCAAAAAGAAAAGCCACTTAAAGTTCTACGAGAAGAAGAAGTAGAATGAATTCTAAGCCTAGTACATGACTACACAATAGGAGCCCACTTCGGGAAGGATATTGTGTTCAACAAAGTCTGTAGCCATTATTACTGGCCTCAGATGTATAATGACATATAAGAATATATCAAGACATGTGAGAAATGCAAAGGTATGGGAACAAAAAATCCAAAGAACTGTTGCATCCAATACTGGTACAAGCCCCATTTCATAGAATAGGCATTGACATAGTCGGTCCCTTACCCATAATACCTAGATCAAACAAATACATTATTGTCGCGACCCACTATATGACAAAATGGCTAGAGGCTCGTGCAATTCCTATGGCAAATGCACAGACAGTGGCTAAGTTCATCTATGAAGAGATAGTAAGTCGATATGGATGCCCTAGTATCATACTATCTGATCAAGAGTCATATTTCAACAACCACATAGTAGATGAACTTCTTGCGGCTATATGCATTAAACATCATAATTCTACCCCGTATTACCTATAGACGAATGGGCCTGTGAAGTGTTTCAACAAGATGTTATGCAGTGCAGTAGCGAGATTAGTTAATAATGTGACGGACTGGGACTTACTAATCCCACCAATTTTGTTTGTCTACCATATAGTGAAGCAAGCTACAATGCAGGAAACTCCTTTCTATTTGGTGTATGGATGAAATGCTAAATTGCCCATTCACCCTAGTGTTTCTGAGAATTTATTAAATGACACTATCATACAGTGGTTGTATGAGATCGACAGTAATCTACTCGAGGCCCGTGAGAATACTCTGCGCCGAATTAAGAGGGAACAGCAGAAACAAAAAAGGCGCCACGATCAACAAATCAAAGCCACTGCTGACTTTAACATTGGTGAGAAAGTTCTAGTGCTAGATGCCAGAAAATTGGGGATCCATAGCCATAAACTAACGCCAAAATAGAAAGGTCTATATTATATATACGCAAAACTTCCAAATAGTACATATAAATTAAAGAAATTAAGTGGAAGTGTATTAGCGGCACTATTAAATAAACAATTGTTAAAGCCTTACTTTGAAAGAAAAGTATAAATATCTGACCAAGAATGTAGAAATCAAAGCAAGTTACTTAGGATAGATAAAAGAAAAATGAACAACAATTTTATCATAGCTCAAATCCAATTTAACCAAAGTATACTCAACCTCGACACCATTATTCCTACATCCCGTTCTTATTAACCTGATCAAGATGTTGATATTCAAGTAGCTTTGACATCCCAACAGTTACTCCTACCCAGTTGAATAGGAGACCATATTAAAACCTTAGTCTATGCGTATTATTTGGGTTCCATACTTGATTCCTTACCAAGGGCCCAAGTCAATTGTTTTAGAGAATTCGTCTCCCGATATTACTTAACTACTGCTCTCAGAATCTACCATATTTTTGCAAGATTCAGAGTAGAACAATTGTACTGCTCCACCTTCACCATGCTTACCAAAGTCCGGCAATTAACCAATGCTAAAGTTTAGTTCCTCCTGTAAACTCGTAGTACTCGCTGATAAGTGTGGAGGGATTGTGAGGGGTGGTTAGAAACCCTTAACTATTTTTTTTTTTATTTTTATTATCATTACTATTTGTTCTTTTCATTTTTTTCTTTCTTTTTCTTCTTTTCTTCTATCATGTTATTTGTATTACTGCAATAGTCTTCGAAGTTGCCTTCTTTAGTAAAGAAAATTTAGATTAGCATAGCCGGTTAGATTTAGCAAGTGTAGCTAAACATTATTACCTTATTTAGAATATTAAAAATTTGAATATTTGTATGTTCAAATATCTGAACATTTGAACATTTGTATGTTTCAAATATCCGAACATTTGAATATTTGAACTTTATGCTGCCTTTAACATGTTCAAATATTCAATTACCAGTATAAGCCTACAAAAACCCATTGTATCTCTTAAAGCGCAAAAGCTATAAAAGCGCTCACTTTTTGCTTTAATAAAGGAATAACTCAGTAGAGTTATAACTTCAAACTAATTATAGTAGAAGTTTGTTCTGTAAAAATCTTTTTCCTTTGAATCCAAAAATGTTCATAATAAAATAAAATACTTTTCTGACCTGATACCTTGTTAGAAAATTACTTTTATTGTAAACTTTGTTAAGATAGAGTTGAAGCCTTCGAAATTTGAGTAGAAGTGCTCACTCTAAGTTGTTCACCCTTTTTCCTTTAAGTTACTTACCCATCAACTTATTAGTTACGCTTAAAATTAACCTGACATTAGTATAGAAATATCGCTTATAGTAAACACCTGAAATCCGAAAGAGAATCCAATTTGCATTATCTAACCTTTTTATTGTAAATTAGCTTAATATTCCCGTGATCCATTGTTAGTGGCATTTATCCAACAATAAAGACTAATTATTGAAATTATCTGTGATCTCGTGACATCACCAGCAAAATCAAAGATCCGATCTTGCTATTTATTACCTGTGACAATCGTAGATTAAATTAAACCACTAATTGCTGCTAAAATCGTAATTTCATCACATGTGACTCTAAAGACATAATACATTCGAAATAGAAAGGCAAAGTAGTGTTAGTAATAATATTGAAGATATTATTAAGCTAAGATTGCAAGTATAATATAAGGAAACTTATCTGAGCCTCAGGAACCACAATACAAGACCTGAAAGACCTTAAAACCCGGACCAAATCTTTCCATGCCTCTTTCGAAGCCTTCCACCTTAAGGTTTTAGGTGTTTTAAAGCCAAAAGAGCGAATTAGTTGTTGGTTAGCTTAGTTGAATTAGTTAGTTTAGTTCAAAATCATTAGTCATACCCTTCTCAACGTACAATTTTTGCAACTCTTGTGATCGGATCTGCATCATTTTTTAAAGTATGTATGCAGCGATCACAGATCGAAATTTTGGGTTTACTAATCCCCCC